TGACAACAAGATGAAGCTCAAGTCACAGACTAAATTAACTGAATAGATATTTCAATGGGCATGGCCCACAGACTAAGGAAAGGATACCTGTGTATATGACAAATGACAGTGAATGGGGCAGTGGTGGTTAATGAAAAATGTATTGAAATACTGTAGGACATGAGCATGATGCAAAAAGTATGGAATAAGAGGTGGAGATTGTACTAGGTTTGGCTGGGATGGAGTTAATTTTCTTCACAGTAGCTGGTACGGTGGTGGATTGTAGATTTGTGACCAAACCAGTCTTGACAACACACCAATGTTTTAGCTATTGCTGAGCAGTGCTTGCATAGCATCAAGGCCTTCTCTGTTCCTCACTCTGCCCTCTGCAAGTAGGCTAGGAGTGGGTGAGAGGCTGGCGAGGTAGTGGTATGGTTTTGTTTAGATGATGATAGAGGCTAGTAAGATCATGATGATATAACTTTTCATCATGGGCTGCTTTGTAATACAGTCACATGACATTTGTCCTGCCACCAACTGGTGGTCCTGGCTGAGTACTCTACAAGCTCCCCAGTGACCCACTCCTGCTCCCATACAGGTCTGCTGTTGAAACCCCCTCTCTCTTTAGATAGTTCATCTTTTGTCGTGTTGTTTAATACAAATATCCAACAGTGGCCCCCACCAGAGGGTTCCCATCATTTCCATGGTAGCATTTGATACAGCCATGGGAAAAGCACCCATTATCTTCAAAAGCTGTTGGCACCCTGTCACTGTCATCCAAGAAGTAGGATCCTACTTGATATTCACTGCCTTGTAATGCATGATAGATTTGGGTATTTTCAGCCATGTACATAAGCCATGGAAGATAGGGGGCCGAGGATCGATCTCTCATCCAAAAAAGAAGGGAGGGAGGAATGCAACCTTGCTAGGTTACAGGAACATTCACCAGTACATGTGAGTAGCAGCAGACCTTCACCTTTTCACTGTCCTCTGTCTCACAGAAAGTGTGCTGGGTCATCACTGTAATCTCATTCCCGTATGCCTAACCTCCCTCAAAGTGCTTACTTCTTGTTGGCAAAAATAATCCAGGGGAACAAATAACTTTCTTGCAGCAGTAGGAAGGCTCACTCCTTCACATCTTTTCCCATGTTGCCCACATAATGAACATGTGACAGGGCTAGCCAGTTCCCCACTAGCTGCACCAAGCGGTACGTGGCAGGAGCCCCAAACCACAACTGCTGTGATGGGGGGACGGGGAGAGCAGACACGTCATGGCACACAGCAGCTCCATGTGCTAAACCCCATGCGTGGCTAGCAGCAAGCTACAGAGGCAGACCCAGTTCTGCTGGGTGGCAAATGCCGACCCAGCCTTTGCAGCACCAGCAAAATCATAACTGCAAACTGAGCCCTGTCCCTGCACAAGGACAGGCTAGGGATGCTGGCAGATGCCAACCAACAGCAGCCTTGGGGATGGTGCCCCACAGACAAGGGCTGACCAGGGAACCTATCCCAGACCCCGTTGCCCTTCTGGGAACTCAGTGAGTTCCTATCTTGCCATTTTGAGGTTCAAAGAACATTGCTCGGAGGGCTGTCTGCCACCACAGCAGATATCCCAGTGGTGCTCATGGCTGCGGCAGTGACGCTGCAAGCTGCCCACTTCAAATACTGGTACATTGACTAAGGTTGGGATGGTGCTTCTCATGCCTGGGAATATTTTTGCTTGATTTTAAAAGGCACACAACCATTCCTGCACAGCAGCTAAAATAGTTGCCACTGTTTATTGTTGCTATGAAGCACTGTCTTTATTTGAACAGCTCTAATTTAGGCATTAGCTAGACCATGACATTTGGCAGATGGATATGTCTCAAACATCTTCGCTGTCCTCATAAATATTGAATTTTGGCTGACACGGAAATTAATTGGGAAGCATGAGTGTTAACTTGGAGACATGGTGACATTCAAACCTGAGAAGTTTGACCTTGATGGTCAGTGTTTGCCTTCAAGGGTGGTAAAGATTTTCCCTTGCCACTGGGTCCCAACTCCCAGAGTAGCCACCAGCTCCCCAGGGCAGCGAGTGCAGTCCCTCCAGGACCTGCCCGTCTGGGCCGTCACACAAACAGTCACCCTTGACCTCCAGTCGCTGAACCCGGGTGCATTTGCAAGCATCCTCACAGGCATGCTCACGAGAGTGAGTGTCTGCTTACCACTTACCTCGAACTCTGTGAGGGAGCACGTGGTGCTTCCTCACCGTGCCATAGTCAGCACTCCTGTGGGACACGCATTCCTCCACAGGAGCTGGGACAGGGGCCAAGGGCTGCTGCGGCTCTGGGGCTTTTACATGCCCCATTTCAGTGCAGGCTGTGGGAGGGAGAGAAGTGACATTTTTAGCAGCTAAGGTAACCAGGTCTGGGCTGATCTCGCATCAGGACGAGCTGGGTTACAAGCAGCACCAACGGGCCACACCTCCATGTTCACACTGTTGAGGGGGTCATGGGTGAGTCACAGGGAATCTGGCCATTTGCAAAGCCTGGAAATGAAATTCAGAGCCCAGCTTTTTGATGAGATAGGGAAGACAAAAAAAAAAAAAAAAAAAAAAAGCCTTAAAATGTCCTACTGTATTTGCAGACTAGTACTTCCTACAATACGCCAGTGTGCAAGAAGCTGCTGACTCATCTCTCCCATAACCTGCCCATATGCTTCATGAAGGAATTTGCCACAAGGCACCAATCTCCCAGTGAAGGAAACAGAGTAAACATAGCTTCACCTTCAGGGGAACAGTTTCTCCACCTGCCCTTTCTGCCTCCAGCCACCACCATCCTTCTTTCATTGCACAAGGAAGTGCCTCTAGAGATCACTGCCCTCCTTGGATACTTAAGTACCTACTGCCAAGTCTGGTGCAACAGGCCCCTGAGCCAAGGTGGTCCGAGCAGGCGACAGTGTCACCTGGCTGGACAAAGCCCAGTGTCACCAGGCTGTGGGGAAACATGTCTTAGCTAGCAGCTGCTCTTGGGTCTGGTGCCTCTTGACATGGTGCCACTGGCTGAGCATGGAGGGTGGAGGCAACAGAAGCAGATGCTAGGAGAAGGAATCACTCTTTGCTCACTGGCCTCATCTGCTGGATCCAGCCAGCGCACTTATGCTGGCATGGGCAAAGGTGCTCAAAACTCACGCCCTTCATCCACAAAACTATTATCTATCTTGGTGATATAGAAAGAAGCCATGCCTTGGAGCAAACTGTTGGGAGCAGAGTGGGTACGTTGTGCCATGCCTCTGCCAGCCCCATTGCTTTCCCCTTTGAGCAGTTGCCACTATCCAGCATCATCCAGTTTGTGGTTGTGCTGGGGACCATGGCATGCAGTTGGTTACAGTACCCATCAAGCCACCATCTCAGAAACCATTTTCGTACTGATGGAGTTTTCTTTTGCACATGCCTGGTCTTTGCTTTCCCTGTTGTTCATAAAGAAGGTCACGGATCTTACAAGGGGTATTTGTTCAACTTGTTCATCAATGACCTGGACGGGAAGGTCACGGATCTTACAAGGGGTATTTCCAAAAAGAGTTCATCACCATGCAGGGATCTCCCATCTCGCTGCTTCTCCCAATCAGGAGTTGAGCTGATAAGCCAAGTGAGAACAAATACCAGCCTGAAGGCCACCATCTGCATCAGTCCCACAACAAGCTGTTTGTGGAGCTGAACTGGCATGGATCTGTCTCGTTTTTAGGATTAATTTCCTCCATGCAGGGTCCAGATGACAGTTGGCTCTCTTGTCAATGTCATGATGGTTTATGCATGGAAAAGTGTGGCAGGGAGAGCACCATCTCAGTGGCCTGTGAGCTCAGCATCTGCTTCTGGAGGCTGAGCTGCATGCAGAGGGGACAGGGGGTTCCTGCCCTCACCCAGCCATTGCTCCAGTCCCTGATCTGAGAGGACATTTCTGTGGCTGGTCAACTGTGTGGACATCAGGATCTTCCACTCCTCTACTGGGGCACTTCAGGTGGCGGAATGTCCCAGGGCTCTGCTGGTGGTTTCTGGATGCTGCCACAGAAATGTCCCTTGAGCAAGATATAAGAGCAGCACATTTAGGACCAGGCTCTCCCACTTTGCCAGAATAGGTCCTGACTAAGGGTGAGCAGCAGGCAGTGGGGTTTTTTGCTGTCCCCAGCACTGGGGAGCTGGGTCCCCACCTGAGGCGGTGAAATCCCTGGTGACCACCCACAAGTCCTTAGAAGTTAGGGACACATCCACTTGGCATTTGAGTAAATGACTGCAAAGCACCATCTTCTAAAAGCAGCAGCAGTTGCACAGCCCTTCCCACACCCAGCTGCAGGCCACACGTCTACACTGGAGCTGCAGAGCTGTCACATATTTTCTCACCCTCCTCTCTCCCACGCTCTGGCCAGCAGCAACATACACATCACGCCCCACATGGCAGACAGGCAATGGGTCAGTGTCCCATGGGCAGGGAGGGGAGCTCCCACACCTCCAGAGCTTCCAATTTCCAGCCACAGGCACCAGCGCACCCCGGGCGCTCCTGCTTTCTCTGCGAGGCGGAGCAGTGCATTCCCAAGCATGCAATCAATCCCTCCCTCCCTCCCTCCCTCCCATTCTCTTTACAAAAGCTGCAATTTCAGAGATCAAGTTGGCAGCTTCAGAAATCTACCCGCAGCTTACATCCTCGCCAGCTCTTCAGGATGTAACCCAAACCACCATTTTAAGGACATGCACAGTATTTTGTGACATTTCACTTCCTTTTTTGCTGCTACTAGCAATATCAACATACAAAAACAATAATGAAACTTAGCAATGATATAGCTCTGTATTTTCAAAACTCTGTACAAACATTAATTAAACAAAGCAAGGTACTATGCAAAACAGTCATTGTTCAGAATAATTGACTGATGGGTTGTGCTTCGGCGGTGACAGTGGGATAGCAACAAGTGTGTTGTAAGGAAAGTGACAAACCAGAGGTAAAAAGAGGTCTAGTCTTCGAAGTTTGGATTATAAATGGAGAGAATAAATGTTGAGGACAGAATCTGAGAGTGTTCTTTAATATCCTTACATCAGGTAGGTAAAGCTAATGTATTCACACTATCACACAGGAAGACTGGGGAAGAATAACTGCTTAATGCAAATAATATACAGCAATATATATATACGTATAAATATATATTCACACACACATTTGATGTTAAATTTCTTAAAGAAGTCTCAGCCAAACGACAACAAAAATTATATTGGTATGATAACAATGAAGATATTAAAAAATGTAAAAAACACTGCAGGGACCTTGACTGTGGATCTTTCCCTCCAGAGAACAGAAATTCTTTAAACTGTTACACCTGCGAGGCCAGCTGCCCTTGGTACTGACAGCAAACACGGCTCTTAATTCCTCTTTTCTGGAACAACTGAAGAAAACAAAACGTAGTTACCCATAAAACTCAATCCTGCACATGCAATGCCATTGGCACAATTAACTGCCTGTTTATTAATGGGCAACAGGACAGACCTTTGGCTGCAAAGGTTCTGAAAACACAATACATAAACACGATCCAAGGAGAAACTCGGGTCCTATCAGCTCTCCACCAGCTCTGACAGGTTTAGGATTGCAGCCACAGCTCATTTTTTGCAGCCCCCGTAGGTTTGCATCATTCCTACCACAACCAGCTCAACAGAAACAAGAAAAGAGGTTTTGTCAGAAGCACTGTAACAGCTTAGGCATGCATTGATAGCGGATATACTTAGGGGCCTTAGTTTTATCCGCCTGGGTGTGTTTTAGGGACGCATACCACCTGCCTAGTGATGAAACACCATGCATTCTGCGGCTGTAAATAACCAACCTGCCTGCCCACAGACACCCACACAACCTTCTTCCTCAGGGGTCAACCCCAAACTATTTTAAATAGTTTGGACCAGTTGTTTCGATAAAGGAGTGGCAGCAAGCCCAATGCACCCTAAAAGCCTCAGATATGCACACAGCGGGGGCCCGCCTGTGCTGGGACATCTCTGGGAAAGGCAGTGGCTGGGAAGCACCTGCTGCCAAGCAGCCAACTCATTTGGCCCATGCTCTTCATCTCCTGCCTAAGGGCCTCTCCAGCAGAGAGTAGGAGGGAGCAAAAATCCCATCCTATGCCATGATTTCTGCTTTAGGAACTAGAGAGAGCAGCAACTTCTCTCTCCTCCTCCTCCTGCTTCAGTCAGATGCTGACTCAGCAATATCTGTAGCATATCAGACTGAGCCACCAGCAGTCTCCACTGAGCCACCAGCAGGACAGGGACCAAGCCCAGGCCACTGCACAGGGCTGCAGTGGGGACCTGCCCCCGCACCACTCCCTCCCAGTCTCACAGCACTGAGTCCGGTGTCCCTTCCAAAAATCCATTTCCTGTCCCTTTCAAAACCTGTGGCTCTGTTAGCTCAAGGTAACCCTGGGATAAATGCCAACTCCTCTCCAAACAGGAGCACACTAAGCAAAGATGCAATCTTTTAAACTCAACTGAAATTACTTGGCATTAGAAAAAAACCCCAAAATAAAAAACACATGGCAATTCTGAGACAGGGATAATTATATCTTACACATTTTATTTCTGTGGGTTCTTAGGTTTTATGTAACATTAGACATTTTTGTTCTGACTGTATACCTGAATTGCAGCTCTTCTATTTCAGTAAACTTTGGGATAATTTTCACAGTGGACATTTTATGATGATAAAAAAGCAACGAATTCAAAGTGCAGCTTCACTGCAAGCGTGAGCCTCCCAAGCATTAAAGCCTAATTTAAGGGATGGCAATAATAATCTTCACTATTTAAAAAACTATTGATATTTAAAAAAAAAACCAAAACAACAAACCTCAATTATGTGGTGACCACAGCCAAGCAATTCTTAAGAGTTGATTCTAAATTCCTGGTTGGTTATTTTTTAAAAAGACAGCTTGGTTTCAAAGTGCTACCCTTCCATAAGACGCATGCTCTGATTCATGCTACCAAGCACCCTGAACCAACAGCTTTATGTCATGCACATTTTCACTGAGAGAGCAGGATGAGATTTATTTTCTTTCCTTGCATTGGCGGCACTCTTAGACATCACAGAACTGGACTGACATGCAACACCAGCTCCGAGACCCTTAGACTTTCAGCTGCAAGTTATTTTAGATTTAGACGACATACAGAGTAACAGCACACAAAAAAATCTGCTCCTGAGTTTCCTGTTCAGTAACCAGTAATCTTTTCAAGATTTCTCTAAGATGAGAAGATCAAAATTGCCAGCTGTACAGAAACCCCCATTGCTGTACATTCCGAAGTATGCAGAATCACAGTTACCATCACTAGCTGCACGAGGGTGAGTGGGGGCTGTGAGCATGAGCACTACATGGACATCCACACGGCTGAGGAAGAACAGTTGCTAACAAGCTCCTACACACAATACGCTTCACACACAAGCAGTAAGAAATAATCTATAGTTATTACCAGGTCCTGAGTACAGCCATAACCAATATTTCAAGTGCTAACCTTTAGGCCCATATTTTCTTAAAATGATCCTGCAGAACATACATATTTCAAACATCTATATTTAAAATTATCTTTTTTACTAACCTACAAACTTTCTTATAGCTAGACTGTCATCTGGAGAAAAACACCTTAAATTAGATTTCAAGTATTCATCAACATTAAAGTTGTAACTCCTTTGAAGATCCTGAGACAAACACTCATATTCAATCAAAAATAAGAAAAAAAAAATTTAAAATGACTGAAGCAGCTCTCAGAGCAGCATTGCAAGTCTCTGTGCAGGCCAGCACCCAGCCATCCAGCCCAGGCTTTTCAGACAAGACCACTCAGCCTCCCAACCCACTGGGGAGACTCACAGCTTCCAACAGAAAGGTCAGCCACAAAATTCAGCAGCTGCCAGAAGCTGAGTTGTCTTATCTTTTGCAGTCACTCAAAATCATATACATTGCTATCCATTCTTGCTCCGTGATGGTGAGCATCAGCCATCACAACTCTGCCTCCCAACTTCTTTCCACATATTAAGTGCACAAAAAGGAACAAGCAAGTGAAGGAAGCCACACAGTATTTTATTGACTCCCAGAAGACAGATATGGATTGCATACAACCCTGGAAAACTTCTTACTTTTTAAAATCCCAGAACTATAAACAAGAGAACTCATTCCTCATAAATAACCTGACACCGTTCCTTTGTCAAAAGGTTTTGGCATGGAACATATTTCCTTTACAGTTTAATTTTAATAATTCATTTGAGCAGCTTAAAAAACTATGTCTATAATAATACTTAAATATATTGCTCATATTTGTGACTTCATTAAAAAAAAAAATAATTTGAGCTAATACTTTCCTAGTCGTCAAAAAAGTCCAGACACCAACTTTTGAATGCGCACTTCAGAAAGATGGGTAAAAATGACTTGCTGGGAATTATCATCAGATTTCATTTATCAATAGACTGAGCCCCTCAAAAATGTGCATTTCATCTAATAGCAGTAATGATCTCAAGAAAATGCACACAGTGCAACAAGCTTTCCCTTGATACTGCAAAAACATATGCATGTATTCAACTACAGCCACAAAAGAATTTCTGCAATGTGAACGAGACAATGTTGATCTCAAAGGCAGATGCCCGACTGCTTGCAAAATCTGACCACATACAATTCAATTCCTTTTAGTTTTAGAATAGGTCAGTCTAAGCTTCAGTCAGATGATGACTGCAAAAGCCTTGTCGGGCTGGCAGAGGCCATGGTAGCACTCTAGGTTTTAACGAGAAGTGGACAGGATGGCTTAAGTTGCCAACAAAGCTGAATTAACTCAGCCTGTCTATTGCAGCTTGCAACATTTCTTCCTCTGGCATCTGGAAAAGGCAGTAGCCTCTGGAAGCATCACAGTCTTTTCCGAGGGGATCACTAGGCCACAGAATTGCTCACCTTCCCACAGCAGCACTTGCTAGTATCCATAATACTGCCAAAGATGCATTGTTTGTACCTCAATGCACTACTTCCAAGACATTAACCCAGAGGCTTCAACTAATGCACAAGTGATTTTCAGGCTTGATCATTTTTTGAATTTGAAAATGGGTTCCTACTTGAGCAGTAATGAAGCAGTGTATCTCGTTGGCATTCATGATTAGCCAGAAGTGGTTTTCCATCAAAGTCTCCAACACCCTAAGTATTCACTACCCCCCCCGGAGATGCTGGGGCTGAGGTACGGTAGCTCGTTACAGCTTCATGATATACAGGCTTTTTGGCCATGAAGCTGGATGAAGGGACCCATGCTCCAATCCACTGCCTCCGCGGATTCACTGGCACAAATCTAAACTGGATCCCTGACCCAATGTGGGTCTAAAAGTAATACTTGACTTGACTTCAAAGCATGGACCAGCCTGCTGATCTGATGTCCCATGCAGCACAGGCAAAGGGTGGTGAAGTGGAGGAACAGGAACCAACAACTGGAGCAGTGGTGCAGCAAGTTGGTTTTGTCAGGTGAACTCCCGTGTCACAAAGCATCACCTTCACCATTTGCAAAAGGAACATGAAGGTGCTCTTCAGAAAGCACAGGTGATACCTGGATGGGCATGACCCAAGGGATTGGACATACGCCACGTGAGCAGAGAAGTGATACCAGACATTGTCTCATCACTCCTAAACATTATGTACTAAAAAGTGTTTTTAAAAGTGCCTTCTATACACCCATTAATCAAACTGATCTTACAATATTTCCTTTCTATCTTACATTTTTACATAAAGCGGGGGTGTCTACACCTTTAGGAAAAACACCTTTCTAAGTAATCATCAAAACAAATGAAAACACATTTGAAAGCAACTTACCTAATTAGCTTCACGAAGACCATCACACTTGTAAAGCCAAAAGGCAATGAAATCTCAGAGACACAACAACTTCGGTGAAAGCAGATCTAACTCATAGGAAAGAAGTTTTAACAACTTCTTGTCCATACTAGGGCTTTTCATTTCTTCAAGAGGAGAGCAACTAATGCCTAGCAAGTGACTGGTTTTGGCAATTCAGGCTTAGTGCCCTTAAAGTGAGTGATTTTTTTTTTTTTTTTTTTTTTTTTTTTTTTTTTTTTTTTTTTTTAAGTTGGCATATTACTGTTAGAGTTATGATTGTATTCTGATGAGTTCCTGGGATATACAAATCACCTACTTCTAAACGTGTTTCTGCACATTATAGACTAAACTTCTTAACTTACAAGTAATTATTTTGCTGTTTCCAGTTTACAATGGTAAAAAAATGAAGACTTCACAATGTGTGTAAATGGGAGGTAAATGTATTTTTAAAAACAGAATAAAAAGCTGCATGTTAAAAACTGGGTCACAGACTAATAAATACATACATCAAAGACATGAAATTTTCAGCAGCTGGTTTTAAAGAGCAAGGAAGTGGGGAAAAACTAGCTGTCTAGACTCCATTCTGGCTCTGTGGTCTACATGCTAGAAATATCTGCAGTTCAAAAACCAGTTAACAGAGGAGTAGAATCAGCTTCGTCACCTATTTTCTTTTAAAAAAATTAAGCTACTTCCTAAAAGTGTGGTGTAAAACCTAAAGAAACTTTCATTTCTTCATGTACTTGATGACATCAAATTAAAAAAAGAAATTATTTTAACCCAGAAAAAATGAGTCATTTTATACTGTAAGGACAGCCTTACTGCAAGTTTTCTAAAGTAAAAGTATTTCTAGAAATATACCAGAAATTACTTTCCCATAACAAAATATACAATTATGTGTCAAATCATCATTGAGTTTCAATACTTAGACAAAACAGAAACAGTTACTATGAAGTTTCAAAAAAACAGGAAAAAACCCAACTCCAAACAGTAAAAAGATGTTTTGATGGCAGTGGAGATGCCAGAAAGCAATGCTGGACACTAGGAATTTCCAAACAACCCCCTTTCCAAAGTGATGTGCAGTCTCTGAATTAGACCGTGAGAGAAAACTGATCCTGTTCTATAGGCTTCTCCACCCAGGCTCCAAGTCCTGCCTTCAGGAATGCTTTAAACAAACACTCTTTGGCAGTTTGATACTCAGTGGCTCCTTGTTTGGTTTCGTGGTACAGGTTAGGTTTGAGGATCTTTGAGCGCAAGCTGGAGAAAAGCTATGTGGATTAAAGATGAGAAAAGAAGAGAGACAAGAAACTATGAAGCCAAACAGTTTCAGAGTGACTGAGTTATTAAAACAACTATGATTAGAACAAGGTAATGAACTACTAAACCAAATGTTCAGGCAAAGGAAGACAAGTACACAGTACTGCTCCTTCTAGCCATCACAGCTCTGTACCCAACTTCACCACACCCAACTTTGATGTTTGCCTCTTGTAAAGCGAGCCCTTCTGCACCACCACGCCACAGCAGAGTCACTCTTTGAACTAGTCTCACCCCAGCCAGCCTGACTTTTGCTTTCTCTGGATTATCAGCTTCCTTTGGTGGAAGAAATCTAGACTCTGAAAATACTTTCTTGAAGCTTTTCTTTCTAAGAGAGGTCTGAGTGAAACCTCAGTAGGGTCGATTGCAGTGAAACCGGGATTATCCTTCCAAATAAATTACAATGAGAAAGCAAGCTCAAAGGAGATACCACCCTTTGTCTACTTAGTTATAAACTAAGGATTATTAGATTCTTGCACACATTTTGGACCCTTCATCATCAAATTAAAAAATAAGCTAAACAAATGCATTGTTCTTTTCCATTACTACATGGAGCAGTAGCTAACATCAGACTCTGCTTACAACAGGCTCAGAAAGTGGCTTCTAAACACAGAAAGCAGCATGCACAGATATTTCATTAACAATTAAGAAAAAGTGGAAAATCTAGCACTCTGGAAGATATACCTTTGCATGAATACGCATCCAGCGGCTGTAAAAAGCATGTTTACAAAGGCGAGATGCACGACCCATTTCATCTTTGCCGGTTGTAGCATTAATAACTTCAAGACCAGTGTCTCCTACTGTCCAGTTCACACTGAAGTTTGGTGCTTTCCCTGGTTGACGAGCTTCTGCATTGCTAATACCTGAAAGAAAAGCAATGTTTAACAACAACACTAAATACTATCTCTTGATTTTGTTTTTACTGGGGAGTAAACGACACAGCAGAGCTACTGAAATCACTAAGCAGCCTTACAAGTGGTTCTTTTATTCCAAGGTAGATTTTTTCATTCTCCTGCACATTTTTCACTGACTCATGGAGGTATCGCCATGCACATATCATTCTCATCCTGGCTAAAGGGCTCGCTCCTCCTGTCCTTCCTAGCAAGGCAAATGTGCATTGCTGGAGCCGTGAGAAACCAGCCTCCTCAGTGGATGGGATTGCAGAGAGGTCTGTGGCAAGGGTCCATGTGGACAGTAACATGAGTGCCTTGCCACATCATCTCAGGAGGGTCTGGTCTTGCTTACAGGGCAAACCAATGAACTGATTATTAACCTGCAAATAATTATGAAGCAAAAAAAAGTTACTCTGCTCCTGCACAAGAAACCACTGCTCTCAGAGCCCAATCAGTAGTGGGATGAGCCGAGTATAGGAAAGAGCAGATACTGAGAGGTTTTGACAATTATAACTCTTTATCAATTCCCTTTCACTCTGCTGTTGTAAACATTCAGGTGCATGTTGTAGTGGTATGAGACGGCAGCATGCCTTACAAACTAAAGCATGAAGGTGTGTATGTTTCAGTAGCTGTCGAGTGCATTTCATTAAAAGCTACCAATCTATATCCTCCTCCTTACACCGGGGCATGGCATGACTAGCACAGGCAATAGCACTGATGCTGTGAGCCCCATCCTCAGCATCCTCTGCAGAAAGCCAAAACTGCCAGATATTTGAGTCTTTCAGCATAAATCTGGCTGTGTTTCTGCTGCCTTCCCACTTTACAGGCCCATTGCTACTTACAGTGCCCAGAAATGGTGAAACACAGGACTTGAGAGGACATGGATCATTTTGCTGAGATACTAAATTGTGCAACATATCTCAAATATGGCTATATCTCTACTAGTGGATAAGCAAAACCACCAGAAGTCTAACCCAAACATGAAGCAAGGCTGACAGCCTGCCCAGGGCAGGATTTATTCCCCCACAGCACCCCAACACTGCAAAGATGCACTGTATATAATGACCACAGTACTGTGCTTGAAGATCACAGCAGCTGCTGCCATGCACATGCAACTCCTCCCCTGCCTGTCCTGCAGGACGGCACTCAGTGCTCGAAAGCAGCAGCCAGGGCCATGACTTTGGGTTGTGTGTGCTATGGAAAAGCTGAGGAGCACATCACTTTTGATCCTGCAGACATTACAGGGGTGGCAAAACTCTAGCTTTAAGAGGTCTCAGTTGTCTCACCAGGAAAGAACAAACAAATAGGGGACTTTTTTCTTTCTAATAAGTAAAGATCCCATTTTTACTCTAACACAGCTCTCACTGAGAGCCTATTTCAAATCTATTCCAAGGTTATGCTAGGTCCTACTTTACAAAATCTAGTGAATTTGTATAAATTAACATAAGTATTGCAGCAGGATGTCTTTCTTGTTGATATTTGAAACACAATCTAATAAACAAAGTTAAGCCAACCTCATGCACCCACGCACAGGACTGGTTCACTTGGCCTGGGTCTCTGAGAGTATGAGACCTAAGAGGCCTGAACAACACAGAAAAATTAATTTTACTTACTGTAATCATTTCCTCATTTACTAAATAAACAAACATTCCAAAATATTGATCATATTGAACTTCCTGAAGCTGTTGTATTTTTATGCTTGGTTTATATCAACCTGGTCACTATGACTGATAACAAGTAATTAAGTCAATAAATAAATAATAAAAAATAACCCTACCATTCCCCATTTTCTTAAAATATGAGCTGAAAAAATAGAGAATCAGAACAAAAGTTTCCTGAAGACCTCTTTTCTGATTTCTTTTAGAAGAGATGCATCCAGGAGCTGAAATACAGCAGGATGCCACAGACCTACACTCACTGATCTGCAAATCAGTGAGCAGGGATGTGGGATCCACACACTGACCAACCTGGGAAGGCAGACAGCAGTCCCTGCTGAGCAGATACTGTCAGGAATATCACACAAGCAATGCTTGAGGAAGACCCAGGAAGAACAGGCCTTTATGATGAGACTCAAAAAGTCCTCATCACAACTTCTGTGGTCCTTCCGAGCAGCTGGCAATGAACATGTGCATCACACCTCCTGAAAACTGGAGCTGATCATGCACAATGCCTGTACATGTTCTGTGCCACTGAAGTCCAAACGCTGCAGAGCAAGCACTACTACTCCATGAGTCACAGAACACAAGGCTTGCACCTAAATACCTAATAAATCATAAATTTTGGGTGCACACAAAACAAATCTCAACTCTGAGTCTCCAAACATGTGTAAATTCAGGCTGCTTTTTTGAAGCTTGTGTGAAACAGACCCATGCTGCCAAACCTCTTAATCAAAAATTGGTTTTACCAAAACTACCGAGGCATGAGGGCTAAGAAACTGCCACCACATGACAAGCAGGTCAGTCATACTTTTTCGTTAATGATAACTATACTATTACCTTTGCTTTCATTCCATACACTACTGAACAATAACAGCAATCAGATATAGTTCAAGTACTGCAAAACACCATTTGCACCTTGAGCCTGCTCCTGCCCTATCAGCTACTCAAACACCTGTGGCATCACCAGCACCTGCACAGGCAAATCAAATAAAGATGAGAGGAAGCTGAACATCCAGTATGCACTACATTTCCATGGCAATTATACAATTGCATACCTTAGGTTATTTTGATGAATTAAATAAAAAAAAAAAAATAGACTCAGAATTTCAAATAGACTTAGATAACAACACCCCATTCAGCTGCTTAATTATCTGCCCCGCAGAGATGGCAAAGGAGCACCTGAAGGTGGATCACAGGTAGCACAGACATGGAATAAATGTCATCTTAAAAGCAAAGCATCTGACAACACTTTAGGTAGATCATATCTTCCCCATCAAAATCTAGACATGAACAATAAGCTGAAACTAGTCATGGGAGAGAAAGCTAGGCCAGAAAGTAAAATATTTTATTCTTATTTGAAAACTGATATGACTAAGCTATTTAGAGAACATCACTCAGAACTTATTGTTGAATATTATTATAATGGGGTATAATAAGCAAAAGCAAAAGTCACAGCTCTTTGTGCCAGTGCTTATATAAATAATAAAGCTTGACAGTCTTTGATGAGAGAGTTCAAAAAAGCTTCACTGAAAAGGATATAGAGAGTGAAAAACACCGATGTGAACAGGAGGATAAAGTACCAAGGAAACAGCCAAAAAAAAAAAAAAAAACAAACCCAAAACCACTAAACCAAACAAATCACCAAGGTTCTGCTGAAGGATTTATTTCTGTTTTAAAAAGAAAAAAAAAAAAAAAAAAGGCAATTGTAGACAGCAGTCAGAGGAGTGTGAAGCAGGAACTTTTATAATACCCACTCTTGCTGTGGTGGTTGAAGTTGTCTTATGCACAAAAAAAAGAATTAATGTTTTGCAAAAAGGCTGGGTGGGTTCCCAGGCCAGAGCCCCTCTTCACAGGCAATGTGTCAGAGGAGCCATCTCAAATGGAGGTGCCAGTAAAAACAGTTCTAGGATACATGCATGAAGTAAGCAAACACTGGTTACGGCACCCAGACAATATTCAACTGTGTTCAAGGAAACTAAAGATGAGGCAGCAGAAACAGCAGTCATGGTACATAACCTCTTGTCACAAACCACACAAGTCCTCCAGGATGGAAGGTGGCCAATGTGACTCCAATTTTGAACGAGTTTAGAGGTGTGCCAGGGAACTACGAGTCAATAAACGTGACATCTACACAGGAGAGCTGCAGGAACTATGTAACCGCCCTACTGGGCACAGGTGTAAATACAACAATATTGGGAAAGATTCAACAAAAGACTGCCTTAGTAACTGAAGACTGGAGGTGGCCAGTGTAACACTAATTCTTACTGAGCCCTGGGAGCAGAAGGCCTGTCTGTTCAATGTCCACCTTAAAAACAGACTTAATGGACACCTGGATGAAGATGGTCTCCTTGGGAAGATCCAACACAGCTGGAAACCCTCAAGCTCTGTACAGACCTGGAAAGTATATGTGTGGGGGAAAAAAAAAAAAAATGAGATGAGTAAGATTGGCGATGATACTAAATTATTTAAGAAGGCAATTGCAAAGAGTAGCTGGAAAAAACCTCACAACATTAGGTGACTGGGCAATAAAAAGGCAGATGAAATTTCTAACATATAAATATTAGGTAATACATAGGAGGAAAAAACACAAGCAATTTTGCATAAAGAGTGCTGGACTTGAAGGTGGATATTAGCATTCAGGAATGAGATTTTAGTTTCTAATATTCAGTTCTACCAAGAAGTCAGGTCAATGATCAACAGTAATCAAAGGAAGCAAAGTGAATGGTAGGAATTACTACTGAAGGATCTCAGCACTGAGTATCATGATGCCACCATATAAATCAGTACTGCTGCTTTATCTTGAGTATCAGGTTCTGCTCTAGTCTTACTAGCTCAAAAATATGATTGTAAAATGGAAGAGATGATCCTTACATGGAAGGGTCCCCATGCAAGGAACAGCAAAGCAGACTAAGACTTTTCAGCTTGCAAGAAATAGGATTTATGTAGGAATTTTGCAGAGGTACAGAAAACTGAGTGCCATGACAATAGCACCATGACAACTGCTTATAGCCTGTATCATACAGAGCACTGAGGAGCATCTCATTAAATTATCAGAAAGGAAATTCCATTGTACAAATCTTCACACATCCTACAGCTCTCCTTACTGAAGGAGGCTGTGGATGGTAAAAAGTTTAAACCAGTTCAAAAAAGAAAACTGGAAGTTCATGAATGAAAGATCCATTAAGGGTTTCTAAAAACAAAGCTTCTCAATACCTGACTGACTCTGGGTGTCCCTGATCCACAGATTACGTCCTGCAATTTACTGTTTCCTTCTGCTTTTCACTGCCTAACTACCTGTGGAAAAGAGTACTGGGCTGGATGGATCGTACCTTAAGATCTTGGTCTAACCTAAGACAGTTCTTACGCTGGTAACAAGATAATCAGCAGATGTGATACTGGTCCAGGATGTTTTAGCCAAGAATTGAAATAGGAAATAGTTGTCAGCAGCACCATGAGGAATGGGTCAAAACCACCAACAATGTAATTTCTGACAATACTCTGGTAAAAGACAGGAAGGTCTAGAGAAACTAAAGCATAAGAAACTATCAACTGACTGGACATCAAAACAGTGAAAACTTTGCCTGTATTATAATCACAGCTAAGAAAAAAATGCATTGTCCACAAAAACAAGTACTGCTGCAGGGCCTGGAGTTCAGTAGCCATTGCGGACAGGACAGCACATCAGGGCCCAGCCTGCCGTCTGCTTTCTGGTCACAGCTCCAGCATATGCCATTAGCCCAGGTCCTCGGACATCTGAGGCACACCTACCAGCAACAGGAACCATAAGGACAGATGCCTGATGAAATTTGCTTCACACTAGCTGCCTCCAGTGATGAAGAGCTTGCCTTTTATATATAACAGGCTCTCTTACACTTGATGATTTCTACTCCCAAAGATTTTCAAGGGCTGATTCTCTGATTGCTGAGCTCTGCCACCCTACTTCCACCCCGGGTGAACTCCTTCATGCCCACCTCCCACAATGGCTCCAAAAAGAGTCTGCAGATTACCCTGCAGACTAGCACTTCGTTACTGGCTGATTTATACAAACATCCTCTTTCTATTTGATTGAGTAACTGATCTTTTTTCAGATTATTCTAGAAAGTCACGAGATTCAAACCTGCCTTCAACTGAGCTGGACAATTCTCAGCGAGAGCTCCCATGCCCTCAGTGCTGTGGTGCTAAAGGCATCCTGAAAGGCTGGGTCCTGCAACAAAGGCTTCCAAGAGTCAGCATGGGGAGGGAGTTTTCTACCAACATACAGGTTTCCTGCAACCCCTAGCTGAAAACAGCTACTCTGATATGCATGTTCACTTGCTGGCAAAAGGAGGTATAAGTAGAATATCTCCTATGAGGAAACAAAGGTGATGAGAAGACAATTTTAAGCAGTAGATAACAATAACTCAGTCTGACTTTGACTTAATGCAATTGTTGCTGCAGACATAAAACTTGCTTTATGAAATAAAAAACCCCCAGTTTTTACAGTACTTTCTCAGCTAAACAGGTGAGACAGTGGGGAATGACAGCTATTTCTCTTCCAGTTCATCCCTCTGGTAGAAATGAGTCACAATCACACAGCTCTGTGTGAGGTACCGGAAGGAACACAGAACTGGGGACAAGTATTTCTGTGGTGCTTATTCCACGTAAGAAAAAAACCCTCTAAAATGTGTGAATCAATGAGCAAATGGGTAGCTACACAAATGCCCCAACTGGATCCAACATCATGGGTCAGAAGACTAGCTTTCAAGTAGAAGAAAATCCATCAACACCATTCTCTGCCCAACTTCCCAGACCAACTTCTCATATTTTTGAGACGTCACTTCACGAAAACCCAACAGCTGAGAACATTTCTGAACTCTCAGTACTGCTCAGCAAGTCCCAAATGAACTGTTTAAACAGATGGTGCTACTTCATGGCAAATAGATGATAACATTTCAGAAAGATGATTTTTAAGATGACGTGGTACTATTATATGTTCTGAAAAGGATAACAAAAACTCTTCCCACCCCAAACCTGCCGTCTTAAAAAAACTGATAAAAATTCCCCCAAATCAGGCAGAAACAGTCCATACATCAGCTACTATTTCCATACAACAATTTAATATGTGGTACTGTGAGTGTTGTAACTGCTACTTATTAATATAAGGACAAATACATTACTTAACATTTTAATACATCCTAGTTCAGGGAATCCTTATTAATTACCTTTCTTATCTAAGGAAATGGTGGTTGTTGAATATGCTCTTTTCCCCGCTCCCTCCCTAAATCTATTTTAAAAATTCATGTCAAACTTGAAACATGCTTTAAAATACTGAGCTTTCTGTCCCCTGGAAAATAAACAGACATATGCCAAAAACCAAGCTCTACAGAACCAAGCAATACGCACAGTAATAAAGGATTTCAGTTTTAAAGCTTTCACAGCATTACTGTAACTAGCAGTTTTAGAATTTAAGACACTTCAGAACTTTCCTTTGAAAGTCACAGCTTAATTAGAAATTACAACCCATTAATTCAAATATTACCATTCCTCCTAGCCCTACTAGAGCAAAGCTAAAGAACAGTACTTAAACATTCAGTGGCAACTGCAAAAGACAACCACTAACTATGCTGACTGGGGCTTGCCATATTGCTGTCTGTCAGATATATTTAATACTCTATTAAAAATATTCCCAAAGAATGTGCCCCACCAGGCTCTGAATGCAGCATTTGTGCATTAACCTACAAAGTGGAAATTAAAATATTATGATTATTGGGTCATGCAAACAAGTTGGGTGGCCATGCTAATTAAAGCCAATGCTGCATCCAACAGAGATTGATAACAAAAAGAAAATACAACAAATAGCAGCTGAGATGTTCTCTGCATCCATTTTTAGTTGGTCTAGAAATTGTGAACCAAAAGTGTCTATCTTGGCATACTGATTAATGACATGGCTGTTGAACAAATATCTGCAATGGCAAGAGAAATGAGAGTGAGAGCTAACACACTATTTCATGGGTGGGAAGAGGTTTCACTAAGCCAGGGCCTTCAACTTGCCTCACATATTGCTAGGGTATGCTCCAGACAGCAATAATGTGAAACCACATCCAAAAGGTTCATACCCCAGTTCTTTCCACCTTTTAACTTAGGAAAGGTCCTTGCTATGGTATTTCTCACCAACTATCTATATTAGGTTTAGACCGTAACTTCTTTGTTGTATCCAGAAAGCAGTTTAGTCACAGTACATAATTTGCAAGGTTTTGAGAACTGCAAAATCACATTGCTACTGGAACAGACTTAGTTACCGGCACGGCCTTCTCCATTAGATACTTGCCACTAAGTAAAGGTCTGTTGAGCGTATAAAGAGGTGGTAGATCTTCTATCTCTGCTATCCTCTGGTATACGGCTCTGGATAGATGATCCCCATGATATAAACTCCCCAAGATGATGCTAGAGAAGTAAATTGGCTCCACAAAGAGGCTAAGTAAGGCTCCTTGAATACCCAATACGTTCCACCTAAGAGGGAGGGAAAAACAAAAACAAAAAAACAAAAAAGTACTTTCTTTTTAATGGAACAAGTAACATCTGCCAGACATAATAGCAGTCAATCACAATGGACCAGACTTTCGACTCTTCCTCTTGACCAGCACATGACTATGGGTAGCATAGCTGTGACACCTGCCAGAATTTCAGAGATCAGCTTAAGGGGTGCTCAATGAAATCCTGAGCAAGAGGACCTATAGCAACTGGTCTGCTGTCAGCACCCACTTCAGGAGCAGACTCCGTAACTTTACTTCCCCACTAACATGTCTGGTGATGCATTTTCCAGCACCTTAATGCCAGAAATGAACAGGATCATTCGATCAGAGAAAGCCAAACTGTGAGATCCTCAGTCAGAAACAGTAGCTGATGCCTCCAAAAGACACCTGGCCATGGGCAAACCATCCTGCCCAGACCACAAGAAGGACTGTGTCTGCAAGACCTCATCACCATAATGGAAAGCTTGTCCTTGACACTGTCCACATCCTGCTGCCACAAAGGACATACGTAGTTGCTTGCAATATCCACGGGCAGAGAGAAAATTGAATCTGAAAACATGCAAAAAGTACATATACTCTTTGTTCACTTTAGCTGCTTCATAGACTCCAATCATAAATCCCTGTATGCAGCACTGTGACCCACACTGGATCAGGTCCAGTGGCAGGGATATAGCACGCATAGAAACAAAATACAATTAAGTTTTTTTTGTAGCTGTGTTCATTTGATCAAGTTTTGGCTCTCAGTCTGTATGTAACAGTCATACAAAGTACTTTTTAAAGCTTCCAAGTCTCCTGCAGAATATTTTCACAGTCCTTGTCTCTGAAGTGTACTTGCAAACAGCTTGGCACTATTAAAATAGCATACTTGAGTACAACTGCAACATCCAGACACAAGCAGCAGGAAAGTTTCTTTTGGTGCTGGAATATAACAGATAAGCACAATGCAAGCTCTCGTGCTGATATAGAACGGTCATCCATATTAAAAGGCCCACCCTAAACCGGGTTACAAGGTGCCCTTAGGAAAACAGGGAACTCTGATGTTGCTAACAGTGTGTCTTGCAGCTTGTGCTGGGCTGGCATGGTACAAATCGCCATCATTTCAGGCTATAAACTATATAGCACAACTGTTTCACTACTGCAAATACTGAACTACAGGTTGGCTAAAAAACTTGCAAAATGTTTTTAAAAAAAAGTAAAAGAAAAATGACAATCCAAGGAAACAATTTCTCTTTATTGAGAATGAAAATGGAGGCAATGTGTATTAACTTACTCACCTGTCATTAAAAAAGCTGGCCCTAATGAATGAATTAAAAAACTGTGCTAATAAAAAAAAAAAAAAGGCATATTTTACATTGAGTTAAGGCACATTTTGTATAACACTGCAAATGCAATCAGCAAATGCCAGAATAAAGATCTGAAGTGAAAACTATTGCTTCCTAGGTCCTTTCTAAGGACTTTACAATGACTACAATTTTGTAAGCACAGAGATATTTCAAGTGCCAGATGAATCAAAAATAGTATTTTCTTGTTATTTGCAGTATTGCCTACGTCAAGCATAGAGAAGGATATGGACTGCTACAGACACAGATAATATTATGGGAGAAACATCTGGAAAGAATTCAAGACTAGGCATTACAAACTGGGGTCTTACAGCTATATCTGAAACTCGCAGACACACAAAACGAGCTTCTGTCAGTGAGGCACATCACATTTTACTTTTTGAGTGACAGACGGAAATTTTGGAAAAGGCCAAAGCATTCCTCTGGCAAGCCCTAGCTCCCTAAATAAAACCTTTGCCAGACCCTTTTATTTGCTTTAGCCTTCAGTATTTCCAGAGCTTGTATTTTGCTGCATCCTCCCACACTTAGTGACCTTTTCTGGCACATAAAAATGAAAGCTTAAATTTGTCTTGCTCAACTTCTTTTGATTAAAAGAAGAGGAGGAGCGTGGATAACTGAACAAACTTTCGCAAGGTGGACTGCATGAACTGATATTACAAGAGCTACTCTGTAACTTCCCACAAGCCTGTTTTTTTTGTTACGGTGCTCATGAGTGCTGGATTCAGAGCAGCTAGCTTGCTACAGAAACCATTCGTACAACCAAAACCTCAAGCTCTTAATATTGATTAGGCAGGGTTGGATGGTGTTTAGATTTATAAAACTACTTTTAAATTTCAATTGTTATAATAAAAGGACATATACTTTTCTATAGAAACATATACTCGTGTCAGAAACTGGTAGTAATGCAGAGATAAGCACAAAACCCAAATGAAGCTCTCTAGACTCTAACAGAATCAAAAGGAAAGATTGCACAGACACTCTCCTGTTGTTCCTTTTTTATACTGTATTTCTTTCTGTAAACCAGTAATTTCTCACTTCCATTAGCACATACACTAAAAACAACCTTTATAGATATAAACTGAGAAGAAGCTACACCAATACCACGCATCAGTTTTTGAAAGACCACAGGCATTTCCTCCTGAAATGGTAAAACTGCCTCGTCCTTCCCATTTACAAGCACAAATTGTCAGAATGCATGCCAACAAATACTGTCAATCTAAGTACCAAAGTTTACTGAAACCACAACTTCTTTCAAAGTTAATGGGCCAAATTCTGTTTTTCACTACAAACTGTGAGGTGCAGAACAGAAAGTGCAACATATATTACAAAAAACTTTATGAAAGTCAGTGTTGCCTTTCCAGTGAAACAATTAAGCAAAGGCTATTTCTTCACATTAAAAATAGTATCAGAAAAGGGTTAAGTCACTAAAGCGACTTAAATCTAGTTTACAAACTCAAACCTTCCAAGACTCAGGTGTAGCTTATAATACAGAAATGAACCTTTCTACACAGCAGTAGAGCAGACACAGACCCTGGCCGCAGCACAGTACTCATTTAGGAACATTTGATGGCTCAAGAAAGTGCTAACAGAAAACATCTCTCCCATCACTAATTCAGCAGTTTAAATCTCTCCTGCACTGGCCATGGGCAAAAATGCAAAGCTCCCACGTAAAATGACCTGATTGTGGGTCCAGTCTTACTGGGCATATCAGAGAGCAGACTGGACCCACACAGTACCTTTTCTCACCATTGAAGCAGGAAAGTGACATGACATCTGCAACAGAGAAAAGCACTAAGTCATAAGCTTAAGCAGAATACAGGAATGCTGCATCACATCAATGGCAATACTGAAATGCCTGAAGTAAAGCGGGTAGACAAGAGATTTGCTGAAGGGGAAGAACACCTCAGAGGCAGGAAGACACCCTGCAACACAGAACGTCTCACTGGAAAAATCTGAGATGTTTGCCTCAGCTGAGCATAAAACCAATGCCTCTTATGACTGTATTTTACATATTCTGAGTGTTCTGGTTTTAAGTTACTACAAGAATTTTCTTTCACAACCTTTATAAAACTTCAAAATAAAACTGACATTTAAAATACAAGCTTTTATACCAATATAAAGCACGAGCCACAGGATTTAGGTCCAGACTGCCAGCATTTACATACAGGTGCCTCTGTTTGAGCTGGGTGTCTAGATCCCATTACAGTCAATGGTGATTTACTCAGTAGCTGAGTACAACCATAGTCATTGGGCTGAACAGCTCTCCATCAATGAATTGGGTGTCTAATGCCAGGGAAGGTGAAGCAGCTGGTGCGGATGGGGATACCTGTGGCCGAACACCAGCCCCGTCTTCAGCAGCATGCAATGCTCTTTCAGCTTCAACTCTGCAGTTCTGCAAGTGATGCACAGCACAAGGAAAGGCAACCTGATGTGATGCCAGAAAGTTCAAATAAAGGCATATTTACTCATCCTGAATTGGCCTTTTGCTCCTGAGCTGCTTTGTCAGAGAGATCATTCAGAGTTACCAGTTTGGTTCATTGGCTCACTGAGGTGATGCTTAAGCCATGTTTCACAAGGCTACTAAATTTCTAAAGCACTTCTAGCAATAATTAGAAAAGTACTTAAGCATGAGAAGGGAAACAAAAGCTGCAAATCAAAACCACAGCTCCCCTTTTTTTCCTCAGACAGGCCAGCCAACACACCGCAATGGCCCAACACACCACAACAGCACCTCGATTAAGAAGTTCAGTGTTGCCATCACTACACATATGAGCTACTCCTGCTTTTCTGGGACAATGAAAAAGAAATCACTTTACCTGATTATCTGGCCACTGAGCAGTTCCAAACAGTTAAAAAACATGAGGACAACAGTCAAAGGATACTGTAATCTGCTGCTGCTATAAAGTGTGAAGTTGCACCCCATCATTTCCCCAGCACTAAGCCTGACTGACAAGGACTCTGCCTATCACCACCTTGATCCTCCTCAGCCTACTAGTTTTATTGCTCACATGGCTCTTCATAAAGTCAGATCAGTGACGTGATTCAAGTGTTTTTTTAAAAACAACCAACCCCTGGCCTTGCATTTTGAAGAGGCAGTTTCTCTAGTCCAGTTTACAGCACAGCTCCACAGACAACTGCGGGACCACCACTGAGAGGCAGGGAGATGCAGCACGCAGGAGGGATGCAGCACCTGGGCACGGGTGCTGGGAGTTTCCTAAAACACTTCCTCCATCAGAGAATATGCTACTGAAAGCACACTCCCAAACCCAGCTGAAAGTTAGCTTGCTTTTAGAAAGGAAATAGGCACTGGACAAATGATGCTTTTTCCTGCAGATACTCTTACTGATTTCAGCAGGGCTACTCTACCGAGCAAAATGATGCAAGATGGAGCAAACTGTACGAGGAACAACAAATTATATCTGGTCTGACCAACATACAACATGTATCCTTTTAGTAACCTATTATTCCTCTCTAAACTCCTTATTGTTTCATATATTAATATATTTTTCACTGTTTGCTATGAGGAAGAAATAATGCATAAATACAGCTATCTTATTTGGTATCAGGTTTATTATTTTGAGAAATTTCCAAAGTTGTACCAGCAGATAATTTTTTTTAATAAGTCTTCTTATATGAA